ATAATAATAAAATATATATATAGCGCACAACCCACTATTTGTCCATGGTGCTTTACATCAATAAGTTAAAAAATCATCTAAAATTAAAAGAGTTAAAAAGCTTGTTTAAAAAGATATGCTTTTAAATGTCGTTTAAAAATGTCTATCGAACTACTGGATCTTAGTTCAAGTGGGATCGAGTTCCATAGTCTCAGAGCCGCCACAGCATATATAGTTTATAAACTCTCTCTCTCTGGGGACAGGCCAGTCAGACGCAGTTAAACAAACTTTTAACTCTACAAAAACAAGCCCTGCGCTTCACATACATTGCTGACAGAAACTATTTATCAAGCTGTTTTTCTCTTTATTGACGCTGTTTTGCCTTTAAATTTTCTATGCTATGAAGTCAGGTATTATCCAGTTACATGCATGGCGTTTTTCATTAAAAAGTAATTAAATAAAGAGTAAATTTTCTTGTAGATAATAATGCATTATCCAAGCTTTTACTTAATAAAATCCTCTTCTACCCATTTTTCGAAGAAGAATTTCAGAGTTCAATTGGAAGTCCTTTTTTCCAACACTGAATCCAATGTAGTTTAGCCAGTTAGCTAAGATAGTTTGTTTAGTTATCTTGGTTTTTATTACTGAAGTCCATTTAAGTCCATTTAGAGATATATTGGAATTGCGCAAGCATTGTAAAAAAGACTTTTTGGTACAGGCATCTGTTCGTTTTCCTCTCTCGAGTTGAAGAAGGATAATAATCCTGTTGATTTCAAATAACTTGTTTCTTTGCATCGTCGTTTTTCAAAAGCAATATTGCTTTAAGGGTCGAGTCGCTTCAATGGTTGCCAATGGTTTGCTGGACGCTGTAACCTTGGCCGATAGTCTTGAGAAACCTCAGAAAAGTACGCGCAATTAACAAATCTTCACATGTGGTCCTTCTTGACGTCCCTCTCCCAACCTCTCTCCCACAGTGAGTTTTCAGGCCTCTTTGAATAAAGCCATCGCTGTCAACATTGGCTGGAGGGAGGGGGATATACGAGCAACGAAGAATGAATCAGGAGTTTAAGGGCATGAAGTTTTCAAAGTAAGGAACTACAGATAAAGTCAGAATGAACTCAAATAATGGCTTTCTTTGAGAGAGAGTGGGAGGGGGGGAGGGGACGGTTGGGAGCCACCACTACCAGGCGTGTACGGCTAGCTCATGCGCATAAAACTGAGTCTATGCGAATAGTTGTCTCGGAACGAAAAACACTCAATTTATGCATGAAAGAATCCAACTCTTAGCTGTTTCCCAACTTTTGTAAATTATGCGTACATTTGCACGTGAACAAGAGGAAATTTGAAAGAAACAGTTCTCTAGTATAAAAGCACATGACCTGAAATGAGTAAACAATACATTCAAGCTTACAAGGACTGTTGAATTATTGCTCGCAGACCATGTATAAGAATTCTGTATCGTTGCTAGGTAAAGAAACGCAATTACTCTATCGAACGAATTCAAATTTTGCAAAATGAAACACAATGGCTCTTGGATCTTAGATCCAAAAATAAAGACGTAGACAAACATATTATTTACTTTTGTTTCATTTCGATTTACATTTTTATTATTATTATTAAAGTGCTAAATGAGTGTCTCTAAAGCAGATAATCAATTAGTTGCGCGCGTATTGATTAGTATTCAATCACATAATTAATTTATTGTCGCGTCACTTAAACAGCAATCGTAGACCCATCGAAAACACGAAAAACACATGAAAAACACATGAAAAACACATGAAATTTTTTAACTCACTATTTCTGTCAAAGTGAGATGAACGAGCCACGGATCAGTCGCCTTCTTCTGTCGATCGGTTTTTTGACTTTCACGAATATTATCGCTTCGGATGTCACTTTGAGGTTTATGGACGCAAGGTGAGTTTTTCTCTTAGTTCTTGAACTTGACGAAAGTATCCGCTATATTCTATCATCATCTTTTCAGTGCTTTGCTAGTTTAGAATATGGTGGATAACCATTTTTGCAGAACCTTTTTTTCGGAGGACTTGTTATTCTTTTCATTCTTTGTAAAAAGGTTAAAGTGGCTGAAAGAACTCCAGAAAAGGTTCGAGGCTTTTTATACCTCACCTCTTGACTTTACTCGAAAGTTTTCAGAAAGTCACGGAAAAACATAGAATGATAGTAACCATCTAACGCCACAGAATAATATTGCCCAGCAGGCAACACAACATCTTTTTAAGAAAAATTGCAACAAAGCTAGAGATGTTCTGCAAAACGACCGAACACGAAAAGGATACCGCCCACTCAGGGCAGGCCGGTTGAGAGAATATTGCTAGCTTTTTAATTTTTTTTTCGCGTTTTTATGGACTGGGACGCAGTCGAAGTAAAAAGGAAATCGGCCAATATCAAGCCATCTTGACCTCAAGCTTGGTCAAAAACGCATATTTGCTATTATTATTATTATTATCTAAACCTCTAGATCACTGGACAATGCAATTCAGGATCAGTTTTTGTTGGCTGAGCCTTCTTGTCACATTATGACAAGAATCGGAAGTCGCGCTGATTTCATAATTCTCTTGTTAACCTTTGGCAATTTTAAAACTTACCGAATGAGGAGGGTAATATTATTTTGATGATAACTATCTGGTTGACAAGCTTTCCATCATTCATATCCAACAAACTAGGCCCAAATAAGTGCGAAGTTAAGTGCATTTTTTTTTTACTTTCTCTCGCAGAAAGCTCGGGGACCCAAAAGCAGCTTTACTACCTGGCATCAAACCCACTATTACGTTCAAGTGCGAAAAGCCCTTGCCAAAGATCTTTACCGGAGAAGTAGATCTCTATTCTGTAGACTTGCGGGGATTGGATCTTTGTGACGCTACCCAGGGATATTGGCTTGGGGTTCTAACGTGCGGTCATACAAAAAGCCTAAAGACTTCAGAATTTTTGAGTAAAGATGTGGAAACTTATCAAATTCTTGGTAAGTGTTAAATAACAAATTAACTAGCATTGTGTTAATTAAACAAGTTATTCTTCAAAATATTTTTCGCATACATAATTTGAAGGCTTTCAGAGTTTGGTGTCACACAATTACCTTGTCCGTGTCATCTGATTTTAATAGCCAATCATATCCTTTTAATTCCATCTTCTCGCGTCAGCATTTTTCCTCCAGCTTCCGTAAGAACACCCGAGTTTAAAAAAATGCAAACCGTTCTCTTTGTTTTTGATCGCAAAATCTATATCGTCAACCCTGGCTTTCGTGATTCCGACGCGTTATCTCCCGCTTCCCCTACTAGGTTTGCTTCTTTCCCCAAAGTTATGCTATTGTTTCCTGTTCAAAGTCTGGTAAGAGGTACAAAGGCTGACATTTTTGCCTGAATAGGTGGAGTTATCAACATAATTAAAAATGGCATCTGTCGTCAGGCCGTAGGCAAAATTGATCTGGCTGATTTTTCCTTCTTTTCGCTCCGTCCTTTATCAAAATACGCTCCTCTGTAGACCTTGTGGGAAATGTTTTTGCGATTTTATCCAAACTGGTTGATTTGTTTAGCCTGTGTGGCTGATGTTTATTTGTTTGTTGGTTTGTTTCTATTAACTACCTTTGCGGCTTCGCAACTCGCTCAGACACTCCCCAACAAAACCACACGCTACGAAATAACAGACACTTTGCATAAAGGGGTAAGTTTCTAAAGAAACTGTAGTGCAACGTTGGGGGGGTAACAAGATATTTTGGTAACATCAACTAAGTTGAAATTTTAAATTGGCGCAAAGAGTTAACAAGCTGACGTTTCGAGCGTTAGCCCTTCATCGGAGCGAATGGGGGGGGAATTGTGGGTTGTGTGTGGGTTTTTATGAGGAAGGTGGAGCTACGCTTTTGGTGGGAACATGTTGACGAGAAAAACACGAATAAATTAGTAGAATGTAAAGCGTTCGTTGATACCTATGGCATGAGGAGTGCCGATTTGAAAGATTAACTTTTGTTCAAGAGTTTTGCAGCTTTCCGAGCTACCTAAACGTAAGGAAAGACCGCAGATTGCCATATGCTACATAGAATGATTAAGTAGATTAAAGTTTCTAGCGACTGGTTTTGATGCGTCCTTGTCATTCGTTTCTACGTCGCGAAGGTGTTCTCGGAATGGTTCACCTAATCGTCTTCTTGGTTCGCCGATGTTTGACTTTTTGCAAAAAGTGCAAGTTATGCAACAGATGACGTTGGCGGAGGTATACGTGAAGTGATTAGTGATCTTAATGTATCGTTTGGGTCTCGATATTTTCTCAGCAGGGTTTGTCATTAGTTTGGAATGAGCTTCTAACCAAAAAAAATTTCCTATGTTTTTGTCGCGTTTGAATGAAATGAGTGGAGGTTGCGGAAAGATAGTACCGAGTTTCTGGATCGTTTTGAAGCGATTTAAAGTTTTTCGGAATAATGGATTTAATTGAGTGGTTGTGAGGGTGAAATATGATAGTGAATGGAATGCGGTCGGAATTTTCCTTCTGTGGAGTTTGTAGTGATGACTGTCGATCGATAAGTTGGACGCGGTGGTGACCCGCTTCAACGACAGAAACAGGGTAACCGCGTTTTTCAAAAGACTGGCACATGGACTCTGATTTGCGGAAAAATCAGAGTCATCACTACATAAACGACGAAGTCATAGAAACTGAGAAAAGGGAATGGAATTCTTGACATGAGATGGATGCGAAGATGAATACAATAAGTAACTATGTGAGTCTGTAGGTTTGTAATACACACTGGTGCATAAAGCGTTGCCTTCAGTTGAAACTTTGATGTCTAAAAAGGATAAGGAATTGTCGGAAAGTTCCCAGGTATATTTAAGAGCTGGGTGAAAGGAATTGAATGCGGTTATGAATCGAGTTAGCTCCTCTCTGGTATAGGAGGTAGCGCCGATACAGTTGTCGATGTAGGGACCGCAAAGTTCAGGTTTGGGGCGTAGTATTGGCTGAAAAATTGGTGTTCGACAAAATTCACAAACCTAGAAACGCTGGTCGGCACATTGTCTTGGCTTGCAGTTGTCGAACCAAACTTATTTCCAGCTATTTAGACAAAATTATGGCTCCCATCGTCAAAACTTTACCATCATATATCAAAGACAGCCAACACGCTCTTCAAATTTTTCGCCACTTACATTTCCTTGGCCAAAACAAACTTCTTTTCGCTATGAACATTACATGTCTTTCTACTGACATTTCTAATGGCGAAGGTCTTCTGGCCCTCAAAAATTTTTTTGATCAACGTATTGTTAAGGACCCTAAATCTGAAACACTACTTGGCTTACTAGTGAACTAGTGCTCACACTCAATTATTTTTCATTCGGGGACAACTTTTTCAAAGAAACAAATGACATAGCCATGGGTACCAAATGAGACCCAGCTATGCCAATCTTTCTGTAGCTTTATCCTTTGTGGTAGTACACTTCGCTCTAATATTTGATCTCCTAAATTCATAGCAGGCGCAGAACCACTAAAATCGCCACCGAGAACAGAAAACGAGTGGCATTCTACTGAGCTTCTGCATTGTGCAGCATTCAGTTGCCCTTTTTTGACTTTTTTTATATTTATTACAGGAATAGCACGTAAAAGGAATAAATCACACAAACTAGTTATAGGTTGCTCAAGGATAAAGACCTACGCAGCCCGCCTTTATCTTCATTTCTGTGATCCAGTTATCTTGTCAAATGGAACTGGATGTGTCAAGGAAGGTTCGTATAACCGTATTTTATACATATTCCACCTAACAGCAAAGTGGGTCAAAGAGCACTGCCTGATGCATTTACCTGCGCTGTTATAGGTGTCTGTATAGCACAGATATGACTTGCAGTTCCAAATCATCATTACTTTATCACATGACTAGTATGGTAGAGCGCTGCACTAGTATCGCAGAGGTCAGTGGTTCGAATCCCGTACAGGCCTGATTTTTTTCAGGTCTGATTTTCGCTATTACATAAATAGCCCTCTCTACTGCGAGGATCATGCATCACACGAATCTAATACCGCAGTTCAAAATATATGAACTTCATATATACATTGTATAGTATGGTACAATGTTCACTTTTAGTGTAAAATGGCATGCATGGTAAAGGTCCCTGTGTGAGGGTCGTGATTGTGCAAGCACGGCCGGAAAGTCGTAAGACTGCAAAAAAAATTGCCAAAAACACTTTTTTGTTGTTACAATCCAAGCTTTTTTTTTCAAATGATTCCAATAGTGAATTGTATAACCCATATATTATGAATGGCTCTTTGGAAATGCGGGTATTTCGATAGTAGGAACAAGCTGGTAATCGCTGGTTGATGGGTAAAATCCGATGAGAAGGGAAAACAGAGAAAAAAAGATGATCATCTGAAAACTGAATCCATATCGCCTGAGTTAGGTAGGGCCAGATGGAAAAATATGTGGCCTGAGGTCACGACGCTCGCACTGAGCTGAACAAGACTGCCAGCCAGACACTTTCACCTACATCTTTCCTTATTAGTCAGTACTTCTGAACTATTACGCTTTTTGTCGCACAACATTGTATAACAACTGAGTTCGTATTCATATATTTGCTTTTAGCTTGTCCATTGTCGTTACAAATCTATCTTCATAAGAAGATGTTTCCAATTTTGTTTGCAACATCTCAACTGGACAAGAACCACACTGCCACACATGCATGGCTCACTGACAAAGCTTCGCTCAGATCATTCAAAACACCTAAAAGGTAGTGACAGATAGCTCGTTTCGTAATAACTTATTTGACTTTTGATCAACCTGCTCTCCTGTTAACACCCAAATCGACTTCTACGAAACGTTTTAAAATCTGAATGTAGAATTAAAGATAAGAAAGTAGGTTAGCATCACTTGCTAGTGGTTTTTTACTTACCCCTTAATTAGTAACACCATCAAAGGTTTTTTGATGAGGTCTCTGTCATTGGCCAGCTTTTAGGTAGTGTTTCGGCTATGATCCAGGTTCTCCATTTGGTGGAGTAATTAACCAATCATCATATGCAAACCCAAATATGCCGACCCAAATATGTCGACCCAAATATGGCGTCAAGCATAAGTTTTTACGGAGCAAGGTAACACAGTGTTCATGTGCAAGAGGATCAACTTTGACCAGTCGCGCGCCAGTCTCCTACAAAAAAATTTCAACCATTTTGTTTGAGCTTACACAAAAGATTTGTATCGTAATTTAATGCCTTTCCCGGCTGTTCGTAACTCTAGGGAGACACCTGGTTCTGACAGTCTAAAAGCACACTTCGTAGGCATTACAAAGTTCGCATATGCCAAGACGTTTGACGGCTCCGTGGACCAGAAAGCCCTTTATGCAATTAACCTTTCAATTGTTATTTCTTGATCGTTAGCTCCTGGTGTGCTTTGGGAAACGGCAAGAAAGCAGAATTTCTGCTCTTGTATTTTGATTACAATCCAAGTTTTTCCATATCCGCGATTTCTACCCAAGGAGCAGTTACAGAGAGAAGTTGGGTCAGCAGTTATATCATCTATTACAGATATAGAAATGAACCTCTCTACTCCATTAGAGATGAAAATGGACAAATCAAGGTAGCTCTCCTGAGAAATGTTTAATTACTTGAGGTCAATCATTGATATCTGCTTCTATTTAAACTCAAAAGAACTTAGGCATTGAAACCCGCGGTTATTAAATTATACTGGGCTAATGATGGCTAAGTATGCGGGGCCAATGATGGCCGACTATACTGAGCCACTGATGGCCGATTACACTGGGCCAATGATGGCACACTATACTGGGCCAATGATGGCACCCTATAATAAGCCGATGATGGCCGACTGTTCTGGGCCAATAATGGCACCCTATATTGACCCAATGATGTCAGACTATATTGGGCCGATGTTGCCGATTATACTGGGCCAACAATGCACACCATACTTGGCCAATTATGGCCAAGTATACTGGGTTAAGGATGACACACTTTATTGGGCCAATGATGGCTGACTATACTGGCCAATAATGGCCGACTTTACCGGGCCAATAATGGGTGACTACACAGGGCCAATGATGGCTGACTAAACAGAGCCAATGATGGCCGATTATACTGGGGGAATGATGGCACACGATATTCGGCTAGTGATGGCGCATGATACTTTGGCAATAACGGCTGACTATTTAAACAATAGAGTGTTTCTGTCGAGGAACTATCGGCTGATAGTTGCCCCTTGGAAATTTCATACCTTCTCAAACGTCC